GCACTGTAAAACCTGGAGTGGATCAGACTGCTGTGCACTGGGAGTCTGACAGACAGCTCTATCAGAGTCTGGTCCATCCCGCTGCCGGTTCTACCTGTCTGTGTACAATCAGACCCTGTTCCTGGGGACGCGTCTAGACACATGTCCTCGGGCCATTTAATGCACAAGCATACCTGGGCTTCAGCCCAGGGGTCCGGAACGATCCAGGGCCTCTCACTGGCCAGAGTTTACATGTCACATACCCTTAGCTGTTGATTGTCCAGATTTATTCAAATGATCCACCCTAACGCTGATCAGCCACTGCATCAGATGCACTTGTGACCATTTATGGAACATTGCGTTCGAGGTATTTAGCAAGATGGCGCTCATACCAGGATGTTCAGGAAAAGCTTTGGGTTTTGAACACATGGGCTTCTATGTCTGAGCAAGATCTCCGCTCATCTGCATTAACCCTCCAAAAGAAATATCGCATGGACCTGGAGGGAGACTTCGTGGAAGAGGCCACTCAATTTAGAGAATTTACTCGTAAGGAGGCGCTGAACCCATCTGCAACTGAACTCCTCACACACACAAGGTCGGGAGAGAGCTGAACTGTGGCGTGTGGTGTCATTCTGACTTTACGGAAAAAGGCCACAAATATACCTGTAGCCCCAGGGCCTACGAGCAGGTTAAATCACCTCTGCACATGTCTGAGAAGTTCCACAAACCATGAAGCTGACAAGCTCTTCCCTGGGATCCCCCGATCAGTAGGCCAAATGTGGTTTGGAACCTTCCTCACTTTTCCTCGGATTCTGTCGCCCCCGCCAGCCTCTGGCTCCTCCCCCGCCTGATGCGTCAGCCCCATTATCCTGGGCTCCGCAGACAAGGCGGAGAGATGCGATATTCCAGGTTTCTGGAATCAGCTTACTGAAAGACCCTCTACGGTTCGACGTGCAGACCTGCAGGCAAAGGGCCTCTTGACAGAGTCCTGGCTGGCGAGGGCTGATGCAATTTGCTCAGCACAGTCTGTGTGCCTGTGCGTGCGTGTGGTCACCCTGATGGTAACACTGCCTGTGCACGCGTGTCCCTCCCAAACGCCGGGAGGTTTTTTCCGCACTGAAGCAAATGACTCCCCAGGCGTTTTGTCCACAATCCACCCCTTCATCCAGCTCATGGCCGCGGGGGAGACCAGGCCCACCCCAGCGAGCGAAGGGCCCTGGATGGGACATCAGACACAGACCCAGATAAGCGCACACTCACACAAGAGAGTCAGTGAACCTGCCAGGATGTCAGTGGACTGTGGGAGGAAACCCACACGAAGACCAGGACAGCAGGGAAATTCCACGAGCCGTGCCCTTGTGCACGTTGGGTCACCTTGTAATTAAAACTGTATCTGTCTGGCGCTGTAGCTACCAAACAGCAGCTCCCAGCAGTCTCTGGTCCAGAGCTGCAGTGTCTCAGAGCGCCTGGGCAAGATCAGGGCGTCGCCGTGATCACAGTGCCTGAGCCCACAAGGCAGCCTTCAGGAGGACAGGACCTGCTCCCTGGGAGGATGAACAGGCCTCTGAGTAACTGGCAGTCTGCACTGGGAGTCTGACAGCACTGTAAAACCTGGAGTGGATCAGACTGCTGTGCACTGGTAGTCTGACAGCACTGTAAAACCTGGAGTGGATCAGACTGCTGTGCACCAGGAGTGAGAGTGATGGTACTGTAAAACCTGGAGTGGATCCGGCTGCTGTGCACCAGGAGTGAGACTGATGGCACTGTAAAACCTGGAGTGGACAAGGTTGCTGCATCCTCTTGGGGACAGACACATGCTTGTGCGCGAGCGAGGTGTAGCTCTGTGCGGCCTGGGCCCTGCCTCGCTGCCTCGCTGCCTCCGAGGCTCGGAGAAGCCCAGGCTGGGAGAGCGTCTCTCTGCCTCCCCTCCCAAACAGACGCAGCACCTCTCTGCTGCTCTGTCCCATTAAAGGGAGGTTACCGTACCACAGCCCCTAAAACTCAGACAAACCCTGACGCAAGGCCTAACCTCAACCTTTAACCCCTGACCTCCAGCTGAGCATTGACACTCCGTTCCAGTGGGTCATGAAATCTCTTCAGCGAACAGAGCAGCAGCAGCCAACAGGTACCCCGGCAATTAACCTTCCCCAGCTTGTTAAAGACCCCCGGTTAATTAAGCAGGACAAACGATGTGGAATTATAGCAAACGACTTCTGGGTTGTCCCAGAAACCAAAGCTGGTCAGACGATTACAGTCTTGTCTCATGGTTATGGCTCATAACGGTTTAAATGCAATCTAAAATACGTCAGAGAAACAGACTGCACAGGAATCTGCTCCTTTTAATGTTTGAAAATAAGACACCCAGCGC